ATAATAAAATATTATTATTCAAATACAAGAAAAACATGTTATGAATTTAAAAAATAATCTGAAATTATATTTATAGTATTATACCAAAAATATTGCTATTAAATTAAATAATAGTTTAATGATTACATGAATTTGACATTTAAATTAGAAGTAACCCGGTTTATGGATCAGTACTTACAACTTGTTTGTGCGCTGTGGAGCTGAATATTGGTTTCTAAAGTCCTGCTGCAAGAGACAAAAACACAAGACATAAACATGTGGAAAACACGTGAAAACACAACAAACACACGTGAAAGACGTGACAAGCCAAACTCAACATTCTTTTTACCATGAAGTGCTGGTTTAAAATTATAGTTATGGCATAATGCATGTACTAGCATATGGAATATAATATGAACGATTACTTAGCATTAATAAATCATTGCAAATATATTTTTATTACAGTTTATACTACCTACTACCGCTACCGCTACCACTACCTACTACCGCTACCGCTACCACTACCTACTACCGCTACCACTACCACTGCCACAACCACTACCACTACCACTACCTACTACCACTACCACTACTATTACTACTACCACTACCACTACCACTACCACTATCACTACTACTACTACTACTACTACAAGAGGTTATAAACAATAAATTATAAATTATAGGTACTTTGCTATTACTATACAAATAACTACAATAATAATAACTATACTACTACTAACTAAGCGAACCTTCGGCGCTTGTTCTTCAGCCTACAGTAAAAAGAAAAAAAGTAAAATGACATCTGACAAGCGTAAATCTATAAAATCTAAATGTTAAAAGCAGCCATCTACATGTCGAATGTGAATTTCTATTTGCTGGTAACCTTAGTAACAAATTATCTAAAAGCATTTCTATTTGCTAGTATTCTTGCATTATGGCTAAAAAATTGTCTAAAAGCATTACGTTGTCACGGTGACGTGCCATCTCACCGTCGTCACGGTGACCTGCTATTTCAACGTTGTTTCTGCGCGGACAAATCCCCGTGGCAGAGACAATGTCGTTGTCATGGAAACGCACTGCATCATGGGTGCTGTGCCGGCAGCGGGACGAAGCCGGTAACTCGTTAGAGGAGCATCTCGTCACGATAATGCGCGGTGTACTAGCCATGCAGATAGGAGGCTGGTGGAAGGGGGCTGGCGGTGAGGGGGAGAGGAAGGGTGCTGGCGGCGAGGGGGCGAACGAAACCGCAGCATTGTTAGTCGCAAGAGAGTTAAAGCGCGAACCTTGGTTAGTCCACTTATAGTAGATGCCTGCAACAGAACAAAACACACAACTAAGCAACAGGGCTCTAGCTCTACTCGCACTAACCCAATCATGCTCCGACCAATCACCTATGGATCAATCACCTCCTACTCAATGATAAATTAGATTCTGATCAATGATCTAATGATCAATGACTTGTCAAAGATGGAATGATCAATGACCTACTGGTCAAAGATGGAATGACCTACTGGTAAATGATCAATTGATCAATTACCATAAAGTCAAAAATCTAGTGGCCTACTGGTCGATTAAATCAATTAGATCCTCTGATTGATGAAATAATTGAAAAAATCTAGAATCTAGAACGCAAACCTATAAACGTGCGAAACGTGGTTACATGCGCGGCGGCATGCGCGGGTGGGACAGAAAGAAAGCTGCATTGTAGCCAGGCAACCTTTCTGTGTGCAGTGTGCATATACAAGTGGCGTCTCATCGAGTTTATTCAGAGATACGTGCGGTGATGGAGCGAAGCATAGAGGGGCCATAACTACATGGCACGGCCCACGACCAGGGCCGTAGGCTGAGCAAATTCCTAGGGGGGGGGGGAGCAGTGGCGGATCCAGGATTTCAAGGAGGGGTGAGAAACAGGTGGGAGGTCTTGGGGTCCTCCCACGAAAAAATTTTGAAAATGTAGATCACAGGAGATGGTATTTGAGGCACTTTTGAGTACATGTACAGCCTTCATTCTGACTACGACAATTCTCTTTTAGTAGATCAATTTTTTTAATTTTGCTCAAAAATCTAGGGGGCAGCTGCCCCCCTTGCCCCCCCCCCTCGCAGGCTACGGCCCTGACCACACAGCACCTGCCAGAGACACTTCCTCTCACTCCATTACGAACACATAGATGGCGCCGCAGGCAGTCCATAAACTATGATTTGATGAGCGAGTGACTGCATGTACAACTCTGCCAGGAGTGTGTGCGTACCAGTGCATGTACAACTCTGCCAGGAGTGTGTGCGTACCAGTCGATATGCCCTGGTACGAGGTGAGTCCGTTGTAACGTCGCCCGTGTTTCAGTGTGTAGGCCTGTTTGTGCCTACCGAGGTTCGCACACATTACTTCCAGGTTCGTGGACAAAGAGTTGTCGTGAAAACATGTCACAGGCATCTGGCTCAGGAATTGTCACGTATACACCTAAAGGAAATGTATATGAGGCCATTTACACACACACATTATTATTACAGGCGTAGTGGCCGCCCCGGCAGCACGGCACTGCCGTGCACCTATCTCTTAAACAAAACTCAAGAACAATTTGGCAGGGAACCAAGGAGCTTTGACTGGTTTATTTGACTGGACTGTCTGTTATTACTCAGTTAATACTGCTTAATTAGAGGTGTTGAATATCAGTGCTCTAAGATTTGGAATCAGGTGTTAAAAAAATACACGGGAGGATGAACGATTCGCGCTCTTCAAACCATACGAAAATCGCTCGCCGTCAGGCCAAAACAGCTCCGGTAAAAATTTTGAACGGGAGGCTATTTTTCCACACACTTGAAAAAGAAGCTCCCCGTGAAAAAAAAGAAAATGTTTCCCCGCTGTTTGGAATGTGTTCACTTCTGGCATGAGATAGAATTGTTGAGACAATAGCGATCATTGGTGACTCCAAACAACACTTTTTCAAACGTCTCGAAATATGATATACACACTAGGCAATAGTGTGATAAACAGTATAAATGCAAGATTGAAAATACACACAGGGCTTATTTTTCATAATTATACTCTCTCATGGGTAGAATAGTATAGTACAATGTTTGTAAACAAACGCACTCGCGCTCTATCTCTATGTAGTTAACGTCATGCACCTACCACTATATCCTAAGTAGAAGTTGTCACATGCACTGGTAGCGCACCACACTCATCTTCTGTGACGAGAGTAAGCTTGATCATTAGTCAACAATAGCAGTATGCCGCAGCTTTAGCTACATTCTTTTTTGAAATTTACAAAGTTACACTTTTAAAATCGATCACACAAATCTGAGTTGCCCTGTTCACAACGAAGTTGTAGCCATTGAGCACCGAGTGTACGGCCGGAAATGCGACCAATTTTCATGCTCTAAATTTCAAAGATCTACTCTTTCCTCGGGGAATAGCTTCCAGACCCCTGAATGGGCTTCGCGACTGGAGCGTTCACGCGTGTAGAGCGAGCGCACCATAACCGCCACTTGTGCTATTATTACTGTGTGAAGTAGTGTTTGTCACATCAGCTCTAATCTGGCCAGCCTGTAAGCGGCCACACACTAGCAACTAGTGTTTAGGAGAGGTTGCTACATCGTACAACTGGTCCCATGTTATTTTAATTATTACATTCACATCTTCACTTGCATTAGAAGATTAGTTATTATCTCATTATTACCGGCCACTGGTAACCGAGGCCACAGGAGTGTTTTATGTTTTGTCGTAGTCTTGATGTTTAGCACCACAAACTCTGCCACTGTGCACAGGTGTACAGATAAAGCATGCTTGGATATATACTGAATTAAAACCATGCATGTGATATATGAAATCTATCTCCGGACANGGGGGGAGGGATTATCCAGTAGAAGTGTGGCTGGTGGGGAGGGATTATCCAGTATATGTGTGGCTGGTGAGGAGGGATTAACCAGTAGAAGTGTGGCTGGTGGGGGAGGGATTAACCAGTAGAAGTGTGGCTGGTGGGGGAGGGATTATCCAGTAGAAGTGTGGCTGGTGGAGAGGGATTATCCGGTAGATGTGTGGCTGTTGGGGACAAATTATGGCGTGACCGGCGTGAATGTAAATGAGTGTATTGCCGCTATATAATGTCGGAAAGTTGCTTATATACCAGTGGTTCTTAACATTTTTTGAGTCATGGTCCCATTGGGAATCGAGTGAAAGCTACGTACCACTCCCCAGAAAAATGCACATAATGAGATAAACACGATAATTTGCATGTGCCTGGTTCACGGACCCCCTTGAAGCCCATCCACGAACCCAAAAGGGGTCCATGGACCACAGGTTAAGAACCCCTGCTATATATACAGTCACAAATATACACAACGGTCACTAGATGAAAACTCGCAAAAAGTGGCCTTCATACACAGATGTCTGTTATATAGAGGGGGTCTCTACTACTATATCTGCCCTCAAGGGAAACGCCAAATGTTTCTTTTGTAGACCGGCACCCGTTATATAGCATCTTCTGATGAATTATTCCTAATTTACTAGTGCTTACGACTACGATTCAGCAATAATTAGGTACAGGTTTCTAGCAGTTGTGTAGCCATGCGTGGGCGTGTCGTACATCAGTAAGTGCAGAGCGCAAGATGTAAGACGCCTTGTAAGATATCACGCCGGGGAGCTGTTGTAAATCTGAAGGCAATGAAGAGAGATGCGATCGGTGTGTGAGTTTATTGGAGGATGTGAACGTTTATGGACATTCTCAGAGCTGAGAAAAAGCGATGCCGCCCCGGCTATCGTACAGTTATCCTTCTCTATCGCGCTCTCCCGCGCGTTTTTATTCTCTCTCTGTCTCTCTCTATCTTCCTCTCTCTCCCACTCTCTCTCTCTCGCGCGCGCTTTCTCTCTCTCTCTCTCTCTCTCTCTCTCTCTCTCTCTCTCTCTCTCTC